ACTCTTTCCAAGAATAAGCTCTTAGTAATAATTTTTGCAATACTCAACCTTCTCCCTGAATAAATTCACTGAATAGCCTAGAGAAAAACCTATAACCAAAGCTAGGCAAATGAGACACGCTTCTCCAGAATATCTGAATATTTGAAATGGAAGATGTAGGGACCAGGACAGGTTGGTAGGTGGGCAGTGCTCTAGGGAGTAGATTCATGAGGACCCTAGAATTGTCTTAATTTCTGATATGTCATTCCTTCTTGGTTTCTGTGAAATGCCCCAGTATCCAAATATCCTTTTTAGTTAAAGAGCTATAATTAGATTCTGTTAATTGAAATCCAAAGAACCTTAACCAACAGAATAGTGTAGAAAATGTATTGGGTAAGTAGGATATCTGGGATTGTGTGTAGAATATTGCTTAATGTCTGAAAGACCTCAAAAGTTTGGAAAAATCAACTAAAATGGTAACCAAGGAGACTATCTCCACCCTCACTGACACCACGTTTTCCTTGACATGGCAAAATCAGTGAGGAGAAGCAGCTCTGCCCGAATGCCATATCACTGTTTTTCTGAGGCCCACTGAACTTTCTCTTCCAGTCAAGTGCCAGGTGCTCAGTACTTTTCATGGTTGTTGGTTATTGTATAAAGGGGAAACACCCTCACTGTTGAATTTTGCTTCCAGACCACAACTGATTCCTGTTAGATTCCAGTTCTTATACCTCAAATCTAAACCCATCATGCCTTTTGCCCTACCTCTAGTTGACAAGGTAATATAAAAAGTAAGACGTTTCATTTCTCTGAACTCACACATTGCATTCACCACAATTAAAATGGATATGTTTTCACTAAATTGTCTAAAGTAGCAGGTACAATGAATATTGTCAGAAATGTTTTTAATTTTTAAAGTGGTGTGGTTATTTACTACTAGTAATATCAAAACTATGTCCAGGACTATCTGAACTACTGATATTTGTACACATAATTTAAAGCACAGAAAGTGATTCTACAAAATAATTTGATAAGATACTTGAGAAGATTATTTACACATTTCATGATTACCTCTGATGCAAAATTTTGAAAAATGCATTAAAATTAATGCACTGTATAATCACCACCTGTAAAATTAACTGTGTTAATGTGTATTCAAGTCAGTGCTCCCTTCTTCCTTACTTTCTTATTTTTATTGTTTGAAGTATTACCTATGTCTCCTCCCCCCCATTGACCCCCTCCTCACGAGTTTATGTTGTTAATTATATCCCACTTATGAGTGAGATCTGAAGTAAATTCATTCCAGCCTTGAGGGTCTGTGGGGTGAGGGAACCCGTCAAGAAGCTGTATGGGATGATATTCTGGGTTGAGAGGAAGCAACGCAAATAGACAAAGAGGTACAAAAACTCAGACCATCCGGAATGCAAAACATATAGGACAATATGATCGTTGGGCTGGGGCAGGAATAGTCAAAGGGCAGGGCAAGAGGACAGAGACTAGAACCAGAGATCAATGGCGGAACCAAAAGAAAAGGGGCAAAGTTCCCGGGGAACTCCAGTTAGGTTCTCCTACCCCCCTTCTTCCGCAAGAGCGACCCCTTAACTCACATTTTTCGCACACCATCCTTCCGCGACGGTTCCCTTAGTCGCAGTAGCCGGAGCAGCTTGAAAACAACAATACACGCCAGGGAAGGACACCCCTTCCGGGTTACCACAACCCACTTCCGGGCTCTCCGCCCTCCGCCGGCCTTTTCAACACCTGGAAAGCCAAGGGAGGAATAAACTTAAGAGGGAAGGCGGGACTGCTTCCTTTGCCCGCCCCTCCACTTCCGCAATTGGCTGTGCGGCCTAGGGTTCCGCCCCCTAGGCCTGCGCCTGCGCGAAGTGTCGCACCTGATGGTGGGAGGTGGTAGCTGCCCTTTCCCTTCGGCGGGCGGGAGAGTTAGGTAAGCCCAGCCGAACGGTCCGGCACGCGGGCCTCCGGGGGGTGCAAGCAACCCTGTCAACTGCCCAGATGCCCACGAGCTTCTGTGCCCCCGGCCCGCCCACGCCACCCTTCCCGAGTGACCCAGGGGCTGTCCTGACGCCCCTCTGATGTGCTGTGGCTGCCTCCGTCTCCCCTGGTCTCCACACCTGCGCTTTTTGATTATGCCCCTCAGCTCGGCCCCCGCTGCCTGCACTCCGGCCGGCCGAGGTTTGGTCTGAGTCCTAAGCGACCCCGTTCATGGTGGGGCCAGGCGGTTCCCGCGAAGTCTCCGGGGGCCGCTCTCAGAACGGCCTTCTCTCCCCCCGACAATGTCTGCGGACCCGGGCCAGGTGTGACCGCGGACGCCAGGGCTGTAGCCTCCCTAGGGGCGCCTGATGGGTGTCTTAGGGGCGCCTGATGGGTGGCCCTCGCTCGCTCTGAGGGCCTCGCACAGGGCTGGTCTCTCAAGAGGGGCTAACACTTGACCCACTCTCCTTTGTTTGGCCCCTCGTTCATTCATTCATTCTTTCGTTCATCATTGATTCAGGAAGCATTTGAGTTGAGGTATTGCTCCCTGTGTTACATCCAAATCCTCTCATGCCAGTTGGGATTCTGAGAATGGCCCAGAAGGAAGTGTGCGAAGGGATGCCTGTTGAGACAGTGAATTGCTGATCTGCTTCCGCCCCTGAGATTGGACCTCTGAGACATTTTTCCTTTCTCCCTTCTTGCCATTCATAAGCTTCTCGGCCCGATCCCTGGTGTGTGTCTTTATTTGAAATGGCGTTGCACGTGGAAGCTTGGGATCTTACGCGTGTCCTCTAACTTGTTTTAGCCTATTTCCTTATCAGTAAGATATTTACCTTTGAGAATTATAGTGCGAATTAATGGAGAGTTGTTGGGGTAAGTCCTGGGCTTGCCCTTTTGTGCTAGTGGGTGCCCCCTCTGTGTGTGTATAAAATATACTGGAATAACCAGAGTTACATAGGGACTATTACTTTAAATTAATAAGATCCTTATTTAACAATTGTGCTATGTGTAAGCTCTCTGCTAGGTAATTTATAAAGGTGTGTGTGTGTGTGTGTGTGTGTGTGTGTGTGATATAGGAAGAGTAAATTTTCCTCCTTCCATTTGTGTTCTACTTTTTATTGGAATTTAACACCTGTAACAAACATTGTCATTTTGGTATTTCTGGAGCGCTAGGATCCCTTAGTTTAGCATAATGTTTTTTGAACTCTTGATTACACTAGTCACCGTTTGCGTATTCAAGTGTGCACTTGGTATCACTGGGCATTTGTTAGAAGATGTGAACTACTATGATATTAGACAAGGATCCACAATGGTAAAAAATGCCAACAATTTAGCCAAAGTATATTCAAAGTTTCTAGAATGCATAGGTTATATTTCCAACAGGGCAGATCATTACTCCATGCAGTTTGTTCTCACCTCTGATTTTGGAGAAAAAAAAAAAAGGAAAAGGAATCACTTAATTGGTCCTAGCACATGACCCTTTTGCAGAAACCAGTCACACATATTTAAGAAATTAGAAAATTTGTCCTTCTTAGCTATGAGAGCTGTTTACTATATTAGTCTTCATGTGCATACACACATATGCATTTTCCCATATTCTGAAACTAATACTTAGAAAATTGACTTTGGCTCATAATTATTCTTAGGTGTTGGAACATTTAGAACAATGGAAAAGTCATTATTGCATATGATCTTCTTAATTTGTTTTTTATTAGACAGCCACTCAAGGAAACACCATGAAAAATGCTGATATCAAGAGACTACTGTATACCCATCTTTTATGCATATTCTCAATTATCCTAAGCATCTTCATTCCATCATTCTTCTTGGAGAACTTCTCAGTATTGGAAACTCACTTGATGTGGTTGTGCATCTGTTCTGTTTTTGTAACTGCCGTCAATCTAGTATTATATTTAGTGGTGAAACCAAATGCATCCGGTAAAAGAAGTTCATTATCATACAAGGTAAGGCTCATTTCTTAATAACTGATTTTTAGATAGAGGTAGTGGTTATTGTTTTTTTATGGAAAAATAAAGCATTATTCCAGTACTTGAGTTATTTACAGTGACTAAAGAGAATGTTAGTTGCTGGAAGGCTGCCCACAGCACTCGATAGAGCCTTGTTGGGCATTAATTGTGTCTTCGTGAATAATATAGCAAATATTTCATAATAATAAGGGCTGTTTGTATTGTATTCTAGCAGTCTGTTATTGGTAAATAGTTTATAGATACTGGTTAATAGCATAGCTCAATACATACCATAGAAACAGAAATGCTTTTTGACTATAGTGCTAGTTGGGTGGGTAGAAT